GAAGCAGCCGTTTGGTTCCACATACCAATCTCAGCTATGTTAAGTTGATTTTCTTCACCTGTGAAAGTCAACTTTGGGCTGGTGTGCACCAATGAAATGCTTCATACTCAGCACTTCTGGAGTATCTTTTCCAAAGCACTTGAAAATTTAATGCATTGATAGTCTCAACAGTGCTTTAAGTTACACAGTTTTCAGTGCTCTCTTAGGGATAGGAAATTGAGCCAGAATTAGCAGTGTGCCTATCAACACTGCGAAAATCAGTATTAGAGTCAGGATTAGAACAGACGTGTTCCTGGCTCCCAGTTTCACACTCATACCACACCTCTCAAAGCCGTGATTGTGAATTACTGGGACCCATTCCTACAATATGGCATCTGAACTCTGGCCTGCTAGAGACTTTGCATTCAGAGATTCTAACCTAAGGGAAATGCGGCAGGGATATCATGCCCACCCTCCTGTTTTCAGATGAGATGGCATCCGTGAGGCTGAAAAGCTTTAGTGTACTGTTGTAACACCACATCCTGGTTGCCAAGGAGCTGGATGGGCAAGCTGGCAGGAAAGCAGGCAACGTTCGAACATCATCAAAGTCTCTGTGGCCTATATAGATTTTCACAAATTAGCAAATTTCAATGAAATAGTATTTCATCTGAGTTTTTCTGACCAGCTCTAGCACTCATCTGCAGCAAAAAATTATGGAATGCAGTTGGATAGTAAAGCAGCCCATTACTGGTGGGTTGACACAGGCAATGGAGCCAAAATAGGAACTGACTTTAATTACAGACATGAGGAATTTATGCACCTGGTTCACATGTGAACCCAGTCATTGTGTCACATTTAGAGTTAGAAAGTACAAGTACATTGGACATACGGTAGTGTCACCCTTCCTTCCTACCTCCAACTTCCCATCGCCTAGGGATAGACTCCCATTTGTACTCTCTATATTTCTGTCCAGTCTGCTCCATCCTCAGAATTTGCATCCCTGTCTCTCCAGTGTTCTGGCAGCTGCCTTTCTCATGAGTCCTGACATCCAAGTCCCACTCAACCTTGTCTTCCCATCCTCATTTCTTTCTCTCCAGCTCTCCTTTGTTCATCCTCCTCCACAACTGCTTCCATTTCCTTTTACTGCTCCTTTCCACCCTATTCTGTCCTACTTCAGTCCACTCCCTTTTTCCTTTCTTCAACCATATCATTCTGGAACTAGCTCATTGTTCCCCTAGCAGCTCAGACTGGAGTCTATGTTGAAAGAACATGGACAGCCTATGAACCCATCTAGAACACTCAGTTTATTGCGCTGTAAGGAACAGAAGCTCAATCTGTTTCTTTTATATCTGGACAGGTCCATAGCATACGAAGGCCAGATTTCTTTTGCACAACCACTGTAAGTAGCTGTTGATCTCAAATTGAGCAGTGTCTGTTTGCCTGGGAACAGATCATGCTCTTTTTTTGTAGCAGAAGTTTTGTATTTGCCTCTCGAATCAGTTTAACTGTTGATCTGTGCCCCAGGGATCTCTGCTTACGTCTAGGGGCGCCTGCTCCTGGCAGTTCTGGGGATTAGGTCTGTCAGCCGGACTCCCTCGCCTTGCAGGGCCCCAGCCCCGAGTCTCACTCTCTTGCCCCTCAGGAGCTGTAGCACCTCATTTTCTGGACTTAACCCTCTAGCTAAGTCACAAGAGGCCTCCCCTTCTGGTGTGCGATTACAGTCTTCCACGCCTCCCAGGCCAGCCTGGGACCCCACTGCCCTGACTGAGCTACTCCCTCAGGGGCTAGAGCAAATGGGCCTGGACAGTCTTCACGTTCACTACCCAGATGGTGCCTCTCATTCAGTGACTGGTAGGGGGACCCAGGCCTACCCTCTACTCTGCATTCCAGTCCTGGGTCTTACCTCCAGCAGCAAAGGTCTGGGCAACCATAAACCTTTCTGCCATGCCTTTAGACTACTTCCAACCTTGTCTAGCCCAGGCTCCCATTTTCCACCCTTTTAACCAAAACCCCTTTGCTCTGGGTCTGCTCGACAAATCCCTCCTTTTGGGTCCAAATCCCTTTCTGTCCCTTGCTCTAGGAAAAAGGGACTGCAGCCCTTTTTCTACGACCAGCTCCCTGGCTTTATAGAGGCCTCAGCTATTCCTGCACCTCTGAGCTTCCCCTTATTAAGGCTTTCCTCTCAGCCTGAATGTCCCCAAGTTTGCAGCCTAATTGGCCCATAGGACCTCTGTTAATCCCTTCAGGGTGAGTATGGTGGGGTCACACCCAATGTTCCCTCTAATTTTTGACAGGCCATGTGCACAAAAAATTTCTTCTGTGCAAATTGTTGTGCTTCTGTGCAATGTGTGTGCACATGGTTTAGGATCTGTGTGCGCCTGCACAGCTTAGAGGGAAGTGGTCACACCCCCTCACAATCAGTCATGGCCGATCTTTGTATTCCCATGCATACTTGATTTATAAGCAAACCCCCTCAATTCAAAAAAGTTGCATACACTGAGCCTGAAGAGGGCGCTTTGAGCTTTTCTTTGGGAAAACTCTTCAGGGTGAAGAGGTAGTGTAACAAAGCTATGATGGGTTTCAGAGTAACAGCCGTGTTAGTCTGTATTCGCAAAAAGAAGAGGAGTACTTATGGCACCTTAGAGACTAACCAATTTATTTGAGCATAAGCTTTCGTGAGCTACAGCTCACTTCATCGGATGCATACTGTGGAAACTGCAGAAGACATTATATACACAGAGACCGTGAAACAATATCTCCTCCCACCCCACTCTCCTGCTGGTAAAAGCTTATCTAAAGTGACCACTCTCTTTACAATGTGTATGATAATCAAGGTGGGCCATTTCCAGCACAAATCCAGGTTTTCTCACACACACCCCCTTTTCCAAAAACTACATACACAAGAAACAGCTAGTTTGTAAGCAAAATTGATTATGCAGGCAACATTACAGAAATTACTTCTTTTCTTCACACCTAGCCTGCATCTTTTTCATTCTGTTTTGTCCACTCCTCCCTGGTAGTGTTTTCCCCTCTACTTTTTGTTAATATGACAAAAGTTTCTTTGCCTCAGCTCTGGTAAGCCCTAGTTTGTTTAAACACAAAGGGATCATGATTATGTTTAATCTGCTTCTGTGCATGAACTCAGCATTTTCTCTCCTCAAGCTTCTTTCCTACCCAATCCATTTTCACCAGGGCCCCGTGTTTTGGATCATAGCAGTATCCATGTGAATGACAGACCTTCTGTTACACCAGTCAGTTTTAGCTTTCATCAATAGCCCATGCAAGTGAGAAAGGTGCAGTTAAGACCGTTTGGGCGGCATAAAGATCTAGCAACATAGTTTCATTGGAAGAACCAGCCCTTCTCTAGCCCCACCCTCAAATAGGACTGCAAATTGCAGTCAGTTGTAGTTCTCAAATGTGAGAATGTTGCTAGACTCAACTTCAGAGGGCGAGGAAGGGGAAGAGCTGCTTCTGTTAGAAGTCTGACACCTTTTTGAAAGACTTCAGGCAATACTCTACACAAACAGCAATCTACATCTCTACATCTGCAATCCTGATTTTATTGTGTTCACAGTACATAGGAAAAGGCCCTCATTTTTCAGTCCCTGCATCACTGTTCACTGTTTTCCTCCCTCATGCATTACAAGTATGAAATCTTATCTATATTTTACAGACTGAGCATCTGACTGAACCAAGGTCATATAGCAAGTCGGCAGCAGACCTGGGAGTCCAATGCCTAGTTCCTGGACCCACTCCCATGCTCCGTTCACAAAGCTGTTTTCAGATAAACCAACTGTACTAACTGGTCACTGCCATCTGCTCCCCTTCAATGAGCATAGGGTAGCAATTGGCCAGCAACTGGTGCCGCCTCCTGTCACTTTACTGAGCGTCTCAGGAACACTGACTGAGTTTATACTCTACTCCACTGTGTGGTAGGGAAGTATTAGCCCCATTTCACAGTTAGGTAACTGAAACAGATGCACTGTTTCATTCAAGGTCACAAGTCAACAGCAGAACCAGGAATTCAGCCCACATGTTGTGACCTAACCCCAGATCCTGAACCCATTCGTCTCATGCTTTGCCCCTCAGACACCACTATTAAAGGCTGGGGGGGGGGGAGGGGAGGACAGGCTGCAATAGTTGCATCTTTCCAGTATCAATAACTGTGAGCCCCCTTGGTTATTTCCTCGCACGATAATGATTACCAGCCAGCACTGCTGCTTGCAACATCTCCTTGTGTGCTGCCCAACCCAACCCAGGCCAACCCCTTGCAGTATGTGTATGGAAGAGCAACATGCAGTCATCATTAGTGGTCCCAGGGTGTAGCAGAGACAGAAAGGCCCCAAGGTCAGGGTCTTGGGTCTTCATTGAATCCCCTTTCCCTGAAGGTCTGAAGGGCTTCCCCCACTGAAGGTCTGGTGGCCCTTAGCCCTGCCTGCTCCAAAAGGAGCTAAATTTATTACCCTCTCAAGTTTAGTATGTTAAGTTCCTAGCCTCTGCTTTGTGTTTTACTCTTTCCCTCCCATTCCTGAATAAGGAACCAGCTGGCCTCATAGCAAAGTAGAATCGGTTGTCAAGCATGTCATGTCAAGGGCCCCCAGCACAAGCTAACTGGCAGTGTTTTCCTTCTGTAGATCAGAACAGTGTAAATGTTATTACCTTTCAAAAGCAGTGTTCTGTTTTTATTTATTTTACTGTAGCATTTGTAAGCCCCAACCCAGATCAGGAAACCGTTGTGCTAGACATTTCACACCTACCCTTGGTTTTAAGAACAATACTCTCCTTTAGAAAGGAAATCTCTGCAGAATGTTTTTATCTCCATAAGCCAGTAAGAAAGGATGTAACTACCCACTAGTATCCCATGTAGCCATGGAAATTACCTCCACCACACAAACGTAAAGTTTTGCTCTACGAATGATCAACTTACAATTGACGTTGTCAGTGGAAGAGCAGGTGACTTACCAGACAAAACCAAATGAAGGCTTTTTAAAAGGTGTGTGTTAAATCATTTATTTAAAAAACACTTTAAAAATACAAAAATAAATATCCACTTGCTTGCCTGGCATTTTAGAGGGATAAAATATTCACTAAACTCTGTTCACTTTCCCCTAACACACTGTCTCTTTTCAAGCTACACCCTTTATTCGTAGCTTTCATCCTCACCGAAAAGCTGTACAAATCCTCTTCTGCAATGCCATCAAAGAAAAAATCCTCATTAAAGATGGGGTTTCTGCTCTGTTTTATAACCGTGCTTCTCTGCTTCTGTACTTTCCCTGGCACAAGGGAGAAGGTGATGCAGCAGTTTATGCTTTTAGGCTCCACAGACGCATCATATAAACCCTCTGCACTGATCAGACGGAGTCTCAGCCTTCTGGTTTCTGAACAATACTCAGCTGACAGTCTCAACAACCCTCCTCTGCCCAGTAGCACTGTGCTCTCCCCAACAAGCCTCTCTCGGCCACAGGTAAGGTCCAGGGGGAAAATAGCGGAATGTGACAGGTTAAAGCTCCGCGTACGGAAGGACTCAACTAGCCCCTCTGAAGACCTCCTGGTGGCATTGGGGCTGTTATCATTGGAGCTGCTTTCATCTGTCGATAAGGAGTTGTTCCTTATCGTGCTGGACTTGTTCCTTGCTCTCAGTGCCCTGCCAAGCAGCCCCTCTTGGCTCCGAGCTTTGAACAATGGGCAGGATCTGGGAGGAGATCTACTCAGCAGTGGGGAGCTGAAAGGAGTCGAGTCAGTGGAAGAGGTAGTATCACTGTCCACTGCAGCTTGCCTGTGCAGGAGTGGATGCTTAGAAGGCACTCTGGCAGAGACAGAGCTAATGGCAATGGGGCTGGAAGCTGCCCCTGTGCCACCACAGGTATTGGCTCTGGATCGAGGCACCATCAAGCTGGATAGAGAGCTGCTGCGTGAGTCATTGTGGAAGATGGACTCCTTCCTCCTGGTGTGGGGACTCTCCAGCAAGGTGCAAAAGCCATAGGAGGTCTGGGCTTTGGGGAAGTGGGGCAGGGACAGCGCTGCCTGGGACTGCGGGTCCAAGTTGGAGCAGTCCTCCTCCAGGGCTGGAATCTCCTCAACGCTTTCTATCTGGATGAGATGTGGCAAGAATGGGCTGGGGCCAAAATCAGCAATGCCAGGAGGATGCAGACTGGCCTCTGCCAGGCAGCGGTCATGCGGAGAGGAAATGGTCAGTCTGGGTGGGATGCAGAACTCTGGGATCCTGTCTGGGGTTAAAACGTTGGGAAAACCAGCTGCCCCTACTCGGGCTTTCTCTGACACCATCTGACCAGGCTGCAGCCCCAGGAAGGAAGGACTCCGTAGGTTGCTGTTTCCAGGTGATGCTTTCATCTTCTCCATGAACCACATCACTGCAGCTGGATACAGAGAGGGAAAGGTCCCTGCAGCAGAGCTCAAGTTCACCTGCAAACAGAAGCAGAAGCACATGAACATCTTCCGACCGGCAGCAGCCGAGCAAAGCCCCGCCTGCACGCAGAGTCCCTTTCTGGCCTGCTACACCACTAACAACCGAGTAGGATAAGATAAAGTTCACTTCTCATCGCAACATCTCCCACCCAGCCTCTTATGGCAAAGGATAAAACGAATAGGTTACAACAGAATTTGAACAGTGTCCTAAAGAAGTTAATCTAAGAACTGATAGCATTTAACTAAGATTCAAATCCGTGCTCTATAGAAGTTTTCCTCTCCATTACATTCCATAAGGCTTCTCCATAAGTCAAGCTCACCCATACCTTTGCACGTTTAAGCCACTTGTTATTTCAGACAATTCGCTAACAGCCTGTTCATCAGTGTCCGTTTAGCCCAGCCCCTTCTTCCTGCTACTGCTGCTCTGGAGGGCTCACTTCAATAGTGGGTAGAAAGAGAGCCAGGCTCCGCTTTTATAAGCAAGCCCGGCAGCCTCATGTCCAATCATACACTGAAGGGAGGTGGGGGGAGAAGGGGAGATGCAACCAGCTCCTCCCTTTGGCTAATTTCCAAGCTGCTAAGAGGCTCCACGCAGTCCAAGCTGAGCTCCCAGCAGCCAGCAACGCTCATGCTGTCTTCCGGCTCATTTTCCCTGGTTCTCAAGTGCCAACAGCTGCTGCTGGGGGCGGGTGCACCTGAATCAAAGAAAAGGAAGGAGACATCCTACACTCCTCACCCCCCAGATTGCCAGGGCTGGTGGAAAAACTGGTACACACACACACACACACTTTTCAAATTCACTCAGAAACCAGATACTCTCTGCACCAAGTACACAGATCTAATGCATGATGCAGGAGGCATGTGCATTCAGGAGAAGGGGCCAAATTCATCCCTGGGGTAAAAAACATCCATTGGCATCAGTGATGTGGTTCGTTGTACCACAGGGGAAGACAGCTGTGTGTGAGATGGTTCTTACCAGCTGGGAAGAGCTGAACTTTCGTCACATTTTAGTGCATCAAGCTACGTCAATCCCAGTAGGTTCCCTTCACCCCGGGCATCACGCAGCCATTGTCCTGGGTTGGATCCATTCATACTATTTCACAGCGAAGGGAGTTTGAATTCACCTAAATGCTCAGAACAAAGCTTAACCCAGAACCCCTGCATTTTGCAGCTGAATCCATAAGCTGCATAAACCTATATTCCTCCCCATTATCCCCCTGCTCCAATTACCACTTGTTTTATTGTAATGTCTATTTACACCATAAGCTGTTTCCAAATAAAGTATCCAAAACCAAACAGAAACAAGTCACCTCCATGCTTCTGTTTATCTAGAAACTTTGGCACCTTTCCTGGATTTGAGCAGCAGAGAACATGAATGTTTATTTCCTTGTCACTGATAATTTAGAGTAACTTCAGATGGTTAACCCTTGCATTTCTGTATAAGTCAATGCATATATTTATATATTACCACTACCCCTCTTATCTTTATCTACAGAGAAAGACAGATGCGTGTGTATTCTAGAGGAAGATATAAGCAGAAAGTGTTGGTATCAGACCTGTACTATGGATGCAAATGAATACAGGTACAGGGATACAAAGCAAGTGAAATCTGAGAGGAAGTGATTTTTATTCAGATTCTGGGTTTGTGACGCTTAGGACAGGGACAGACACCACATGGGCTAACCCTGACCTAGCCCCAACTGGTCTTCAAGTACAGACCCAGGTTAACCTCTTACCTTTGGTTAGCTGGTAGAGTTCACTGCTTAACTCCCTGCTAGGGTGAGCCTCAGTCAGCTTAATTCAGGTGAAAACAGCTCACCTGGGCCTTTGCTGGGAAGACTCTGGGGTTAGCTAACGCCAACCTTTTTTCTTAGATCTACTCTTTTTTAATAAATAAATAAATAAATAGATAGATAAATAAAGGATTCAGCAGCCCGGAACTAAAGAAGTCGGGGCTGCAAAAAGTCCTTAACACCCTTTCGTTCCAGAAGACGACACTTGACATTCCTGATACAGCTTAGGGAAAATGAGTTTTAAGGGAGGGAGTGGGAGGCAGTTCTCATGATTTTTAAACACATCATAAAACAGCAAGATATCATTAAATCAGTTCATTCTGTTTTGGTAGTAAGCTTTAAGCAAGACACGTTCTGTGACCCTTAAAGCATCTGGATAGATGACCCTTTTCAGACACTGTATTGAGTTACGTGGCACTATGGCCACATGCATTCCTGCAAGATTTCCTATCGCAATATCTCTTGTGATGAAAGACAATAGAAACTGGGGAGGTTGCCAGGAAACTAGCCAAATACTTGATTAAATCTGTAAGCCACCAATTAGAGGGATATAAGAAAATAGCTGGTCTTACATTTTGTTTTATCCTCTGACAAACAAACTTCCTCTTCGCTTAGGCCCAGATCCACAAAACTTATTTCAGCCCCAAACTTTCATAAGTGAAATAAATGGATCTAATCCCTGTATCTAGATTAGAACTTAACATGCTTAGAGAAACAAGTCAAATCAGTGCCCATGGGAAAAAATATTTTCAACCTAATGAGAGGTTCAGCCACAGATGCCCCAAAACACACAAATACTGAGAGTGATGCTCCACCATTTATGCCTGTTTTTACACTAGTTTACCTTTATGTCTTAAATGGAGTTATACAGGAATTACCACGGAGAAAGCAAGAGGAAAATGAGGCCTGGTTGAGCACAGCATTTCAGTTATTTGTGGTTGAGGGGGATGCTAATGCAAGCATCCACAGAAAGATTTTGATTAAGGCATGTCCTTGACAAGTATTGGCTTATAGACATTCATTTTAGAATCCCTGAAAAGGGACCACCACAAGTTGGGAGCACCCCTTTATCTCAGCTCCAAGACAAAGAGGAGAAGGTTTGAGTTGCCTTTTTCCTGGGACAAAATAACACTTCTTTTTCCTAGTCTAAAAGAGAAAAAAAAACTTTTGTTCTTTAATTTTTTTTAACTTCTTGTTGTTTCTTCTCGTCCAGAATAAAAAAAAAGGGTGAAGTCCCACAGACACTGATTGGTGCTAGTTAACTGTTAAGAACTAATTTAAGACAAGTTCCTTCAGACTGGGTAGGTGTACCAAAAGAATGAGATTGTATAGCTTTTAATTGAGATAGCCCTGTGGAAAGAAATATAGGAGGACAAAACAGTGCAAAACATGCCAAAACTTTCTGAAAATCAGTTGTTTTTCTTTTAGCAAACTCACCTGCTTGACCCTGACCTACTACTTGAGAAAGCTGAAATTAAAAATGGACCCTTAGAAAAAGGTGTTGTTTGACTCTTCCCTTATAAAGAGACACAATCAACACAGGTGGGGCAGAGACACTTTAAGAATTCAGAGCTGCTTAGGATACCCTGCTAGACTATTCACACAGGTTTGTCATCTTTAGCTAGGGATGGGGAAGAATTTAGTTAAAATTGTACAGCTGAGAGGTTAGATTAGTATCATAGACAAGAACAATGACCCCACAGCTGCTCTTTAGGGCTTGTGCTCTTGATAATCAACACCCTTATGCACATTTCTCTAATGTTTTGTCTAAGCACCGTTCTTAGTAGCCTTTCAGAACTACCATTTTAAAAACTCTTAATTCCAATCTGTCGTCACAGATAAAGAAAATGCACCTTATTCTGCAGACAGATGCAGGTAGACCTCTGCCCACAGTTAGCCCCACTGATGGTAGTGCCTGTACACAGCTCTTTGCAGGATCCGGTGCTTAACATGCAAATCCTATACAGTCCTCCATCAAGAAACCATAATGTTGTTTAGACTTGACTTTTCATGCTTGTTGCCAATACTATATTCATTTTATTTGTGTCATACAGTTGTGACTTCATTTAGCCCTTGTTATCTCACATTAAAAGCACCTAGCTCAGTCTCATTTTCAGCTTCTCACTGAAATTTCCTGGTAGAGGATACCTAAAGTTATGCCTGAATTCATTACCATAAATTGACAAAGGGCACCACCTATTGGCAACTGTTTGAAGATCATCACGAATTATCACATCTGTTCCATGTTGCTCATCCCTTTCCATTTTTTTATACAACTACTTGTAGAAAGAATGACTTTCCCCCCACATAAAGTATTTCAACTTAACAGTTAAATACTAGACAAAATATATTAAAGCATACGAATGCAATTACAGTGTGGATATTAAAACATATAGACACTGTCTTAATATTTTCAAAATAAAATTAGCTGTATTTTTCCAAAAACTATCTGGTTGATTTGTGTACTTTTTTGGGTCCTGTTGGATTTTCATATATGAAATTTTCCATTCTTGTGCAGCTGAACTGGTTTATCTTTTAAGATTTGACTTTTGCTATGCAAGCAACTTCATGTCTCCTGCAAAACGTATTTTGAGCTTCTCTATCACAAAAGTTGTATGGCATTAACTAGACCAGTAAAGGTAAAGTGGTACAACCCCACCACGCCCTGTTTGGATTCAGTTATATTGGTGTCAATTTGCTTAAACTAGTATCGCTTGTTCCTGTAAGGGAGGGGGGAAAACTATGCCAAAATAAACCACCTAATATAACTGCATCCATCTAGAGGTTGTACTAGTATAACTATTTTGGTTAAAAAAAATCATACCCCCAACCAAAATAGTTATACTGGTACCAAAACTGGGTGTAGACCAGGCCTTTATCCAGGGTACTGTTTGGCTCAAGGGACACGGTGGCCAAAAGAGCTAATGTGATCTTTAGATGCATAAAAAGGAGAATCTTGAGTAGGAGTAAACAGGTTGTTTTGCCCCTGTATTTTAGCACTGCTGCAATTGTGTGTCCAGTTTTGGTGTCCACAACTCAAGAAGGACGTTGATAGATTGGAGAGGGATCAGAGAAGAGCCACAAGAATGATTAAAGAATTAGAAAATATGCCTTAGGATACATCTACACTACAGCTGGGATCCACGCTCTGATCGATCCACTGGCTAGGGGTCAAGTGAAGCCCCCATCAAATCGACAGCAAATCGCTCTCCAGTCGACCCCTGTACTCTACCGCCCGACAAGAAGAGTAAAGTAGTCAACAGGAGAGTTTCTCCCGTTGACCCCCCACAGTGTAGACACCGTGGTAACTCAGCCTAAGGTACGTCGACTCCAGCTACGTTATTCACGCAGCTGTAGTTGTGTAGCGTAGGTCAACTTACCACGGTAGTGTAGACATCACCTTATAGAGATAGACTTAAGGAGCGCAGTCTATTTAGCTTAACAAAGAGATGGTTAAGGGGTGACTTTATCACTATAAGTACCTACATGGGGGACAAATATTTAATAATGGGCTCTTCAATCTAGCTGAGAAAGGTATAACATGATTCAATGGCTGGAAGGTGAAGCTAGATAAATTCAGACTGGAAATAAGGTGTAAATTTTTAAGAGAAAAGGTAATTAATCACTGGAACAATTTATCAAGGATTGTGGTG